ACACTGAGTGGATCCCCCTGGTAAAACACCTATCCTGAGGGGGACAGGTGCCGTGGACCACTCACTGGAATAGATGGTTGCAGACAGACCAGTGTACCATGACTGAAGCAGTCTGCAGAACTCTGGAGGGGCGTGGTAGTGAGCCAGGGAGAACTGGATAAGGGAGTGATGAACACTCCCATATGCGTTGGCAATGTCAAGCCACGCTATTGCCAAAGAACGTTTCTTCTGCCTAGCTGTCTTGATGACTGCTGCCAGCTTAGCCTGATGCTCTGTGACTCCAGGGATGGTGGGAAGGAATGCCTTCTGCAGGTCAGAGTTGGGGTAATTGTTTGCACGCATGTGCCTCAACCATCTCTGCTTCAGGATGCCCGAGAGCAACTCGCTGATGCACAGAGTGAGGGCAATCGGGCGGAAGTTTCTGGTGATGATGGATCTTCCCTCGCAGAGCTCTTCGGAATTAGCTTGGCAGCAGCCACTTTCCAGGCAGACTGGACAGCACCCTCCATGATGACACTATTGAAGAGATCGAGAAGGGCTGGATGAATGGAGGGACATCTCTTCAGGATGGTGTATGATATCCGATCAAGGGGGGAGGGGGCAGACGAGGATTTGGACTTCCTGATCACTCGAGTGAGCTCCTCAGGAGAGACTGGCGACATGTCCATGGAGCAGTCTGAGACGGGGGAAGGGGGAGAGGACATCCATGATGGCGTTTCAAACTGATGAGGGCTGGACATGTAGACCTCCGAGAAGAAGGAATGAGCAGCCCTTGCAGAAAAATTCGGAGTGGACGAGAGGTGGTGTCCCCATCCAGAAGGCACTTGGCGTACCTCCAGAAATTATGGTGACACTCCTCTCTGACAATGCTCGCTTCCTTGTCCTGGAGTCTACGAGATGACTTCCGCTTCAGCTTACTGTGTTCACGGAGGAGGGAGAGGAAATTGCCAGAGAGGGACTGGATGGTGGACACACTCTCTCCCTGCCTCCTTACTCTTCGAAGGGCCTGTCGAGCCTCGTTCTGAGGCGAGTCACTCTCCTCAGGGTCCTGTCGTGCTGCCTCGGCCTCTTCTTAGGGCGAGGAGGGTTCCTAGTTCCATATCGCGGCCTGCCATGATGTCATATATGCCATTAGTTAGGATGTTGTTCTTCTCTTCTATGGTGGTAGCTTGCAGGACAGATGGAGTAATAACAGATAGAAGTAAGTTTGCTTCATCCCACTCCTCAGGTGACTTGGGCAGACTGAGGGACTGCTTGGAGTGCGGGAGTGTAGATGGGACTTGGTTTGCGGTTCGGTAAGCTGTAGAAACAGCTGATGTCTCATGCGAAGAATTCAAATTTCCGGGTTGCGTCGTACTGCAATTTGAATGAGACGTCGCGGAATTTGAATTTGCGGTAGGAAGATGGTATTCATGGAGCTGGAGGGCGGGGCACTCTGCTGATCTGGACATCGCGGCAGTTAGCGCTGACCCATAGGTGCGTGTCGAGGCACTTGAAACTCCGGCCGCATTTTTGAGACCTTCCTCGAGTAGTTGCCATGTTCCGTTGAGTAGCGTTGCTTGACGGTTGTTTCGTGTAGTGCAAAGCAGTAGTCCAGTATACCACAAGACTCCTCGCTGCAAATCCTCGCGAATGGCGATAAAGATGTTTAGATTCACTTGGATATGAGTCGAGTATAGAGGACTAACAGTCAGAGCTCTTTCCAACCGACTGTCTGCGCCGCGTAATTTTCTCTCTCTCTCTCTCTCTCTCTCTCTCTCTCTCTCACCCATTCCTCAGTGCCTCTCCTTCTTCCCCTAATCAGTTTTGTTTGGTTGAAATAAATGCCTGTACAAGTAGCCGTGATATTACCAGAAGAAGCTTGCCACACAAACTGATTTTGCTGCAACCTATCAACAGACCAAAGCGAAAAAGTAGTGGAACTCAAACGCAAACACCCGTACTTCACACGGGTCCAAGGCCAGCTTACTATCACATAGAGAAAGTGGTGTGGCTTTGTGATTTATACCATAAAGGGGCTCTCTGTAGAGCGCATTGAATACGACTCTGAATTTTCGAATAATAAATTACTTTCGAAGTTAATAACATTTTATGATTGTTTGCTTTTGCCCCTCTATTGTCTCACCCATGCATTTAAAGTACATGATCTTAGACTACTCTCATAATCATGTCATTTTTGCATACATACTCTATTTCGTCATCACTAGGCTCCGTGTCTGCATCATCGTCTGATTCTGTGTCAAAATACACATCTAAGTACTCTTCCACTTCATCAACTTTTTCAATCGGCTTTAGAGGAATAAGGATGACTTGAAAGTTAACCAGCCATGCACATGCACAAGCGATTTGGTTCGCAATCCTTGACAATGTTATGTGCTGTGTCCTCCAGGCTCCTGCCTTCGGGCCATCGGAGTCCATGGTCGTTTCGCCGAGTAGCTGTCTCATTCGCCGCAGAAATTGAGATTGCTTGCAATCGCCGAGTTCTATTGCGTGGACGAGCTGCGTGTCGTAGGGGTTCTCCAGTACATCAGTATAGTGTCGCGTACCTCGGCGGCGAACTCGGGGGAGAGGGTGGCTACAACATGGTCGTACTGCGCTGTGCTGCAGCGGGTGGAGAATTGTGCCTCAAGGTTTTAGCTGGTTACTGATATTGTTGAAACTGAATAACAACAACAATTAAATTGCAAATCCTTGGCGGAGACGTGTGTGCTTCCTAGAGAAGGGTTCCATGTCAAAGCAAATTTGAGGAAGACTGCCTATATACACAGTCTTCTGTGAAAGGCTGCAGGCGAGGTAAGCATGCTACCAAGTGGGCATTTTTTCGCTGTGCATCTGGCATGTTTATAGGCTTACAGGATTAGAATATCTTGCGCATGCGCGAACAGATATGCCGGCACGAAACGCAGGTGCGGAGTACACGCATGTGTTGTACTTCTAATTGGGGTGGGCTATTTGACCTACACGTGGTCTCCTACCAGGTCGCTGAGAGTCAGTAACGGGCTAGCTACACTACTAGATAACATGCATCTCGAGGTAAGCCCGTGCTGATTTGCATATTGGCTCGTTCACTTGGTTTTCGCACCGTAACTCCCGAACACAGCAGTTTCAGAGGTAACCCCACATATTTTTTTACGTTTATCCCGATGCTAAATATGTGGTATCGTTTGTGGAGTGATTGATTGCTCATGAAGGAAGGTATCCTGCGGAGAGACAAACAGACATACGCGACAAGTATATACAGTAACCTCTTGGTAACTCCTGAACACTGAGAAAACCCCACATGTGTTTTACCGTTATCCGAACGCTCAATATGTGGTATCGTTTGGGATCGATTGTGAAGGGAGATAGCTCGGGGACAGGCAGACACACATGACAACTACAATAATCCTCGCTGCGCATGCGCCGAGGGTTAATGAATTTAGAAATCTTACGTTTGTGTTTTGACCATATAAATCAGACTGATATGTCCGAAGTGGAATCTGATTGAAAGTGAAACGTAAAATGTATGGCATTATCAGGATGACCTGTGTCATCCCTCTATTCCAAGTACCACCCTACTTAGTGACCTCTGTAAGCTCCCTATAAGAATTGCTGTGTTGTTTACGAACATGTGGGTCATAATTAACCCTCGGCGCGCATGCGCAGCAAGGGTTACTGTAGTCGTTTGTGTGTCTGTCTGTGTGTCTGTCTACGACTATTCTCGCACTATAGGCTACGATGCGGCTATGAGCGATACCAACAGCTTTAGCGGTACAGGGCTAGAAAAATAAAAATGGCGATTTTGCTGAAACGACTGCGTTCGAGAGCGACAAACTGGCACGGTCGCGGACAGCGTTGCGTGGCCCACCCCATCAATAAGCGGTGCGCATGCGTGTATTAGACGCTATTATGCGGCTCACTTCCACCTGATCCGCTTGCTCTGTGTACTTTGGAGGCACAAGAAGCCACAGCGAAGGGTGTGTATCGACTCCCGCATGCTATCTACTACTGTAGCTAGCCAGTGTCAGACTCTCCGCAAGCTACTAGCGGGAGACCGCGAGTAAATGCCAATCGCCCCAGCCCATCCATTAGCGGTACCGCGCATACGCAGTTCGCCGAGGGTTTGCACTTTAGTGCTTTTCATTGTAATATGCAAGCATACTCCATGTGTGGTACCATTAGCAAGTTGAGGAGTTAATTAAAATATGAAGAAAATTGCCTGAGGCTATTGTTGTTGTGTAGGTAACAAGTAGTTGTCATGTAAATCATGTCATACGCATGCGTACCAACTTTTATATCGATGTGTTGTACCGTTGGCAAGTTATAGGAGTCAAGATGTAACTATTGCCTGAGGCTCTTTGTTGTTGTATTGTTGTGTTTTATAGTGGTCATTATGTGTATACAAACTTTCATTGGCGCAGCTCTTAGCATTTTATTGTGCTTTTTGTTGTTGTTTACAGTAAGCAATTAGTTGCACATGTTGTTATCGATATGTACATTTGTACAAAATTTCATGGCTTTATCTGTTTTTAGTTTTTTAATTACGTTGGTTTAAGAAAGAAGAAAAACAAGATGAGGAACAAACCTATCATAGTCCCATACATCAATAATGCTAGTAGGTGCCAATCCCTATGTACTAAGTAATACCATACTTAGCAATAATTGGAGCCACAGTTTGTCAGTAGCATGATCTTTTGATATTTTTAAGCCGTAGGTCCTGACTACTGTAATGTTGAATGTTTCATACTTCACCTAGGCAGGGATATGCAGATATTCAAAAAGTGCATAAATATAGCTTTCATTTGATACGTAGTTTGGTATTCATACTTCAAACATGGAAATGCGCTGTGAATTGTCGCCTATTTCCAGGTGATAAGGGTGAAGCACCACGTTAGTGTTTAAAGTTCCTGCATTTTCCGAAGTGGAGGATGTAACAGAGACTGTCATTGGCAGCAATGTACAGTGTAACACTTGTCAAGTTAGTTACAGTTCTTGTGTGTGTATGCTTCTGTTTTTTTTGTAGACACTTGCTCTCCTCACCAAGAGCTGGACTGGTAAATCTCTCAGTCCACATGGTCATCTTTTAAGAGTGATGCATCTGGGATTTGGAACACTCTAAAGAGATAAAATAATATGTCAGTGCGACCCAAATGTGTGGCCACATCACACTCCTACAGAGAGTAGTAAAGGCTAATATATACGCGCAAAAATAACCACAAAGGGCGTGTACGACTCTTGCATCTATCTTCTAGTGTAGCTAGCCCCTGTCAGACTCTCCGCAAGCTTGTACGTACTAGCATGGAGACCAGGAGTAAACGCATACTCATAAACCCACGACCCATCCATAAGCGCTACTGCAGATGCGCAATGCGCCTAGGTTTGTGCTTTCCATTAACCGTCGGCGCGAATACGCAGCAGAGTTACCAGTACTTGTTTGATGTGGTGCTGTGCTGTGTTGTGTTACCACGTTTTCTGCCAGCCAATAAAACTATGCCAATAGGTTCGGTTGCTACACTGGCTAGATATTTAAAGTGGCCGATTTTCATAAACTGCGTTTGAAAGTTATGCATGAACGCAAGTGAACATGCCAATATGGAAATTAGCACAGGCTTACCTCGACAAGATGTGCTTACTCTGTGTAACTTTGGAGGCTCAAGAAATCTCAACGAAGGGTGTGTATCAACTCCCGCATGCTTTCTACGGTTGTAGCTAGCCCGTGTCAGACTCTCTGCAAGCTACTAGCGGAAGACCCGAGTAGTAAACCCATATTACGGCCGAGTCCAATCTATTATCGCTATAAACTCTGCGCAGTTCGCTGAGGGTTTGCATTCAGTGCTTTTCAAACCCTCGGCACGCATGCGCAGCGAGGGTACTGTAGCCATTCTGTCGGTCTGTCTGTCTGTCTGTCCGCGCGAGTTCTCGCACTACAGGCTACGAGGCGGCCAATGAGTGGCACCAACGGGTTGTGAACAACGAGAAGATGGATATTAATGTGGCGATTTTCCTGAAACGACTGCGTTCCAGAGATATGGCTTTAAAACAAGCGAAAAAGCCAACGTGCGATCGATCGCGCACGCTCATCTCCGGCAGGCTATATAGTGCGCACGCGTCATGTCAAATATCGCCGGAGCATGCGCTACGCCACGTTGTTGTATATTATACGATCCACGGGCTTCTGTCAGTTTTGATTCGTTTTCAATGGATAAACATGCTGAGCAAGGTATGTTCGCAATGTAGCATAATAGTTCAGTTGGCGAGCAGTTTGTGGCTGCGGCCTTGTCTTCTCATCTATGAAACGTCTGGCGAGAGCATTGAAACACAGAAGAGCGAATAAAGCAAATATGAGAGCCTCTGAAAAACCTGAGCCATTTCTCTAACCGCTAATGCAACTAGCTACCCTGTGTTACGGCGAGACTCGTGTTACTGGCTCAGTCGATGACGCACTGCCCAGCATACAGAGATGCTACAACTCGACGTGTTTAGCGCCGATGGTTTGCACTTTAGTGCTTTTCATTTTATAAGTGTATGTGTCGCACCAAATTTCAGCCAGTCTTGGGTCCCGCTGTGTGTGAAATGGAAGCAACCTCGCTAAAGAGGGTGTGAGCATTGGCATTCGATGTGTCAAAATAGGTTTTCTCAGCTGGCTGATAATGAGTGTTAGGGTGCAACCTTTGTGCCTCAAGTTTGTGAAAATGTAGTTGAAAGGTAAGTAGTAAGTGCTGAGAACAAGAAGACAGCAAACCAAGTGTCGCTACATGGAATTTCTCAAGGCTTTGTAGTGAAAGTAAGCAAAGAGAGGTAGGCGCTTTTGTGCACGCTCTATATTGATGGACAGAATTGTGGGATAGGGAAGGAAAGAATTCCTGTGGTTACCAAATGGTTTTTACCTCCAGATCTCATTATACGAGTGGCCTGCCCTCTCTAGGTTGGACATGGTATACTTTATAACGTTATCGGCTAATTCCAGGGGCGTCCCCCAAACTCTGGGATGTCGACATTTTGGTAGGTAGATAGGCCACGGCATCACTGCAGGAACTTAACAGCACGTCCGGACAACACTGATGCACACACACTCAAACTTCGTACTAACCTGGCCCTCCTCCTAATTCTCTTATCTGCAAGGTGTGTGCACTTTGGCTATGCTCAATGCTGCTTTTGTAGGCACCAGGCAAGCATTGCGTTACGATAGCTACTTGCAAGTGAGTCTTAGCATAGATTAATGTTCTTAGAGAATTAGAAATGCAACTTTCTCCCTTAAACCAATATTACATTATGTATGTATGAGCCATTTGCTATATAGGTCATCTCCTGCAAACATTGCCTCCGAACTTGAATATTGATTTTTACAAAAGTACGAGGTGCACAGACTGAATTGTCTTAGCAATCTGTTAACATTGTACGTAGGTAAAATATTATTTTGTATATAAATATAACATTTTCTTTTTTACGTCAGCAGGGACTCCCCGACAGGCAAACTCCCTAAAATAAAGAAAGTCAACCTTCCAAGTCTGTCTAAGCAATGTTAGTGCTATAAGATACTATCACTAAGTACAGTAGCATTGCTGAGTAATGGACCTAAATGTCTAAAAACACAAGTTCCAGTGTCTATGTACAGCCTCAGAAAATATTACTTCTCTCGAACTCTTTAATGGTAACACACATGGAGAATATACGTATGTATTCGTATTACACGACAACACTACCAATGGAAAGCACTAAACTGCAGACCCTTGGCACAAAAATAAACATGAAGGTATTAGACCATGTGATGCCAAGAGAAAAAAGATGCGGAGCTCTGGACAGCTGTTTCAGGCGTTGGCACCACAACTTCACTCTCCGGCATCACGAGTTTATAAAGGCTACCAGGAGCACAGCACTTGTGGTTCTGAACTAATGAGATTCATCCCTTGCCACTGGTATGTGCTGCTGACCATGCCAAGACATTCATGGTTTGGAGCCTAGGCCCCTCCCTACATGCACATGTTGATGCAAACCTGTTGAACAATATGCATATACATAATGCACTGATGGGTCGGGCCACGCCATGCGGTTTTGACGGAGCCTTTTTTCGCTCGAACGCAGGCCGGCCAGTATGACCAGAGCAACGCCAGAATGAATACACACCTTCAGGGTAACTCATCCTGCAGCAGCAGTGCTCGAATTAACCTCTGGTAAACGGACAATTTCTGGTCAATTATTGCGCGTGTATGGTCAAAGTTCAGGTTGAGCGGCAAGGATGTCCGGGACGAAGGCATCCTTGTGCTGTCACTACCGACGAGACACCCTTCACCTGTGTTCCTCCCACGAAATGTGTGAAGTTAACAAACGTACAGCGGACAAGTTGTTAGCCGAGTATGATAAAGAGCTAAACACATCCGTTTGGCATAGGTATGAGCTAGTGTGGCCGTGCTGAAGTGCGCGGTATGCGCACGGTTCAGAACAAGGCTAGAGTCAATGCGCAACTATTGTTCAGCATTTATCGATGGTACAACTGACGTTTGCACCTCAACGTTGAAGGAGTACGCTAAAACATACATACACATTTGAGCAATGTCTCTGTTCAAGAAGCAGCAATCTAGAATACGCACTAATTGCTAGTGCGCTTACTAATCTGTGACGAGCGGTCAAAGCAGAGAACAGAACGCAAGTTTGAGGTTTCGTACATGATATTAAAAAGAGAAGTTTGCATTTAACCTCTCTGTAACTTGGATGAGAAAAACGGTGTTGACTTGGGTCCAGGCTATGGGAACGATCACGCCTGCGCCACCTTGATTGATTACATCCCCCGTGATTTCCAGCAGCAACTAGTAGCTGCACTAAATCAGCGTCAATTTTTCAGCCGCCAAGCGAATAGTAGCACTGACACAGGAAATACAGAGAATGAGCTTTTCTTGTACTTTACTTTAATCCCCATTCCACAGGTGGCAAAGTCCATGTGAGGGATAGATATCTTACTGTTAGGGAGCTTGGTAGTGGCACTGCTTCTGGTCTGTTGGAATGCCATGAGAGGGCCCTCCAGTATTTGGGCATTGCTGATTGGGAGCAAAAGATGATTGGTCTGGGGTGTGGTGGGTGCAGTGCCAATATGGGGGAGAGGGGACTCTGAGGTTTACTTCAGCAGAGGCTTCCGTGGGTCGTAGTTTTCTTGTGCTTAGCTCACAGGCTTCAGCTCTCCCTGAAGGATTCACTGAAAAATACCTTTTTCAGTGTAGTTGATGAGCTCCTCCTCCAGGTTTATTATGCGTGTGAAAAGAGCTCCAAGAAGTAGTAGACGAGCTCAGAGCATAGTTAGAGCCTAGTGAACTCTCTCTACAAGGGGGTAACCGCCCTCTACATGCTTGTGGCACAAGGTTTGTTGATGAAGTAGCTGCTGTAGGAAGTGTCATTGACCGATTTGGTGCCTACCTTGCTCACCTTGTAGTCTTCGGGGAGTTCCTGGCCGTATGGTGCCACCTATGCCAAGTGTAGCATGGCTTTCGCTGGCAGCAGCAGTTCAACAGGGGGTGCTCAAGTCAGTATGAAAGCTCTGATCATAGGTTACAGTGATTACCTTTATAGACGACAAGGGAGACAGAGTGACGGGGCTGTGGTGAACTGTGCAGGACAACAATCAGTGTGACAACAGTATTTGCACAGTATTATGGTTGTTGGTGCTGTAAGGCTCAGGTAACGTGGCACCACACTGCAACACATGCATTCAAAACTTGTAAGGGCAGGAGAGACAGAGATACTTTCCCATGCTGTTGCAATCCTGGCAAGACATGGACCGCTGCCTTTGCTCACTCAGCCTTGAATGCTGTCTGTCAGCATTTTTCAATACATGCAAGTGGAACTGTGCTGTGGGTGTTTTGGGGAAGTCTTAGGGGTTTTTCCCCACCCAACTACGTTTCCAGTCTGCGAACTGGTCATGTGGCGGTACACTTGCAGTTTGACTGAGCAGCTCAGCGACTGGACCTAGCAAGCTTGGAATTGACCTAATAATCAGACGTGCGGTAACTACTGACAGCAACCCCCACGTAATGTCGACAATGGGTTCTGGGTTCGTGGGTGATGAACTATCATTTACGAGTTCACAAGAGCTCAACCAGTAAACATGATCAAAACCACTTGTAAACGGCAACAAATAGCCTCAGCCAGTAATAACTTGTAAAATGGTTTTAGTGCCTATAACTTGGTTAGCTGTGCCCTCTACAATTTGTTTACTGATGTATTATGATAATGCATGTTCAAAAGTTACACAACAAACAACCTTGGGCGACTGGTTAAATTGCTATAACTTGCTTCGCTGTGGTCCAGGTATTTGACATAAACCAATCTATTTTACTATGGTATGCAGAACATTGTAACTGAAGAATTTGACGTTGTGTGGTTCTTAGTGTAAAGTTTAATTGCAGCTCTTAACACAGCAGCATAATGGAGCTAAACAACTGGTGGTTAATACCTTACCAAAACTTCATACAATTATCTACAGTTGAACCCCATTGTTAGTCTCTTCTACCTACCAAAACACTGTTTTCTTTACCAAATAAGGTACACCAATGTCTAAGCAAGCAAAGTATAGCAGGTCTGCTATTCCTGGCTCTGGTAAAAAGCCTAAGACTGAAACAAGCAAGGTATGTTACTCTGTCGCAATTTCCATTTTGTCAATTTAGAGTTACGTATGTAATACATATAGGGACAACCATGCATTTAAGCAACTTCCACGTAGGATCGCTAATTAAGGGGGTACCTACCTGACCATGGGTGAACCCTCAGCGTGCATGCGCAGCGAGGGTTACATTAGTTTCCGTGTGTGTCTGTTAGGTGACATCTCACTTCACGAGCCATCAAAACGCTCTACAAGCAATACCACGTATTCAGTGATGTAAGATTTTCCCTGAAACTGCTGCCGTTCAATAGTTACGGTATGAAACACGATTGAAAAAGCCAATACGCAAATCAACACCACCTTCCGCGAGTAATGTTTCCAGTTGGGCGTACTAACTGAGGGAAAGCCAATGACTCCAGCGATCCTACGATAGCCAAGCTGAGCTGCCTGGACATCCACCCACACAACAACACTGTTGATGTGTTGGGCCACGCAACGCTGTCCGCGACCGTGCCAGTTTGTCGCTCTCGAACGCAGTCGTTTCGGCAAAATCGCCATCTAGCCCATGTACCGCCAAAGCTGTTGGTATCGCTCATTAGCCGCCTCGTAGCCTGTAGTGCGAGAATAGTCGTAGACAGACACACACACACACAAAGAACAACTACCGTAACCCTCGCTACGCATGCGCGCCGAGGGTTGCGTGTCTGTGTGTCTGTCTGTCTGTATACGACTATTCTCGCACTACAGGCTACGAGGCGGCTTATGAGCGATACCAACAGCTTTAGCGGTACATGGGCTAGAAAAATATTATAATGGCGATTTGCTGAAACGACTGCGTTCGAGAGCGACAATACTGGCACGGTCTCGCGGACAGCGTTGACGTCAGGCCCGCAACACATCAATAAGCGGTGTGCATGCGTGTAATAGACGCGACGACCAGGTATGCTGGCTCACCTCGACTATCCGCTTGTTCTTGTACCTTGGAGGCACAAGAGCCACAGCGAAAGGTGTGTATCGACTCCCGCATGCTATCTACTACTGTAGCTAGCCAGTGTCAGACTCTCCGCAAGCTATAGCGGAAGACCGGAGGTAAACGCCAATAGCCCAGCCCATCCATTAGCGGTACCGCGCATACGCAGTTCGCCGAGGGTTTGCACTTTAGTCTAACCCTCGGCGCGCATGCGCAGCGAGGGTTGGTTTGTCTGTCTGTCTGTGTGTGTGTGTGTGTGTCAGCGCTTATTCTGGCACTACAGGCTACGAGGCAGCCTATTAGCGATACCAGCAGCTTCAGAACTACGCGAGCCTTAAAAATAAAAGGGTGATTTTCCTGAAACGACTGTGGCCGTGAAAACAAGCTAAAAGCCATAATAGCACTGGGCTTACCACGACCTGATCCGCTCGCTCTGTGTACCTTGGGGGTCACAACGAATGGCATGTATCAACTCCCGCATGCTATCTGCTACTTAAGCTTGCCCGTGTCAGGCTACTAGCGCGAAACCGCAAGTACAAATAGACCAGCCCATCAATTAGCAGTATCGTGCATGCGCAGTTCGCCGAGGGTTTGCACTTTAGTGCTTACTAAGTACTACCAATTGGTGACAATGTATATTTAGATGGGCATAAATAATTTGTCTTTTTCTTCAAAGGTAACAACTGAACAAAGTGAAGGATTTAAAGATTACGATGAAAAGCCTGTTAAATCTGCCTTTGATCCAGCAGGATATGACAAGGAATTAGTAGAGGCATTGGAGAGAGATATTTTGCAGAAAAATCCGAACGTTAAGTGGTATGTAATAGTTCAAAGAAACCCCACACACATGCACATGTTTTAATCATTACCACAGCACAGCACCAAACAATGTGGTTCTTGTGAGTAGGAACTTTCCCTACTGATTACATCACAACACCCCTCTATAAATGAAATCAATTAGGTATCATGCAATTGCTTTAGGAGAACCACAGTTTTGCAGAGCCCAAAATATATAATATGTGTAAGACTATAGGAATAGATATGTGTAATGAGAGTATGTGACACTGGATGTGTGGATGCTTAAAACACCACCACCCCTGTTCTCGAGACTGAGCATCCTATGTCTGTTTGTATGCATGAGGCACATGTACATAGTTAAAAGTGCTCTTGTGTTAGACTGTAGTAAATGTGCTTCATTGGCACTTGCACTACAAGGACTATCTCTCTTCTCCTCTCAGCAGCTGACCCTAACCTAGTAGACATTCAAGCAAGGATAGTCATTTGCATGTGACGATAGCACACCTGTGGTGGCAAAGAATACGCGTGTGTTCTTAATTGCATGCTGTTATGCTCTCTTGAAAAGTATGCAATGTCGTCCCTCGTGTACAGCTTTGTTGCCAAAATTACATGCCTGTTCCTGTTGGCTTTTTCGGCTTATGTAATTCCATGAGGCACTCTATTAGCTGTGTTCAGTATAGACTGATCGTGACAGTAGCTAAGCTAATCAAGCTAGGTTTTTAATAACGGAGGATATGGGAAGCCAGGCAGAGAAATTCATGTTAGGTTATATACCACAAACTGACAATGTTTGGGCGTGCACAAAGGTGATCAAGGTGATTTTTCCAACCAGTAGAGACATAAGGTGTACAACTTTTTTTAAAAGGTGGTAGGATGGAGAGTCCTCAAAGGTTGGTATGCCTAACAAGAATCCAGAGTCTATAGAATAAGCAGACATTATAGGTGAGAGCTCGTGAGCACTTCAGTGACACAGTCCTCTATGCAACTTCTATTACAATAAGGATTAAATTTCAGAACACAGAAAAGCACATTAGTTGTGCTATGATTTGTGAATACTAAACACTTACCTGCAGGGATGACATTGCAGGACTCAATGAAGCAAAAAGGCTGCTGGAAGAAGCTGTTGTTCTGCCCTTGTGGATGCCAGACTATTTTAAGGGCATCAGAAGACCTTGGAAGGTAAAACTTTAATGCATTGTTTGTTTATAGTCATCTCCACACCCTACCACCTATTGGTTTATCTTTGTCTTGTAATCTAGCTCTCCAATTAGAATCTATAATGCACCATGTTGATTTATACCAGTCTGTGGACCGTAATATTATACAGATGTTTGAGCATCCGATATTGTTGGGCAGGAAGTGGTGCCTACATTTGCTCCATCTGTTATGCACTGAAGGAGGAAGTAGAGTCACGGGAGACTATAAGGGGAAAATAGATTTTGGTGTATGAGGCAGTGATAACAGAAACTGATGGTATAGGGAAAGGATGTAAGGTCAGTCGTGATAAGATCAAGTCTGTGATATAGCACGTGGTGTACAAAATTACACTATTTTGTTATAGCATGTACGTTGGCGGTAGAATTCTTCTTAGGCCTTGCTTTACTGCTGTACTAGTAGATTCATGAATGCTATGTTCCCTGCCCCTCAATTGAAATAGGTGCACGAAACCCATTCTGCATAAGTATGGTATTTCACTCACGTTCCATGTTGTCATGGAACATGATCTAGATTGCTCTTTATGCCCACAATATGTAGAACATAGTCTAGGGATGAACTCTGGTTTTGTACAAAGTTATTTGCAAGCGGAAGTGAGCCAACCCTTGTGATCAACTGGCAACATATTATATATGTAACCCGAGGGACAGAGCTCCCAGAAGGTAGCGTTACGCCTATGTGACAGCTGAAGAATGAGAGACTTGCCTCTTTCAAAGCCGAGCCCAAACACATACGGCGTGCAAAGGAAATCTCTTTGGGTGTGACAGGTGCGCTTGACCACACGCTAAGCTCAAAACCACGCATAGCAAATTGCACGCAAACCTTGCAACCCAGGGAGGCACACCCCAACAGCTCAGAACTACTATGCAAGAGCACCAGGAGAGTGAGGCCCGAATCCATCAACTGTGAGTGGGACAACAGCACCTTTCTTTGGCCTTCACACTCATGATGCATACATGTGCATGACCACGCCCAAAGGCATTCCGAACTCCTAACCGTAACAATTGCATGACTGAAGCGTGACTAATTGCCTATGCATGACCAATCATAGACTTGGGTGTCTTAATTACTCGTTCTGCTCCTACCTACTGAGTGAGAGTATACTGTGCCATAGCACAGTGGTTTGAAGTTTACCTTTGTGTTGTATTGTGTAGAAGATTTGAACCCCTACCAGCTGGGTAGCTCAGTTGATATAGCATGCTGCAGAGTCTAATGGGTTAGAATCCCACTATTCCTTTTTCCTTGGAAAAAAAGCACTGTCCTGGTGCACTTGACTGTTTTTGTGCCTTGCCTCTCTACCTCGTACTTGACATGTTGAATTATAGTTGCTTGGTGCTAGAAAAGTACTATTTTGCCCATTAACCAAGCGTGAATACCACTGATATGAGCAAAAGCTTTCAAAACCCTATCTTCTTGCTTTACTTGTGGCTTAATTAATGCAATAGATATCGATTTGTCTATAACTACTCAAACCCTAAATTGTTACCTCTTTTTTTCAGGGTGTATTGATGGTTGGACCTCCAGGCACTGGGAAAACCCTTTTAGCAAAGGCCGTTGCCACCGAATGTGGCACCACATTTTTAATGTGTCTTCCTCTACACTTACCTCAAAATATCGCGGTGAATCAGAAAAATTGGTTAGGATTCTCTTTGAAATGGTGAGGGTTTTTTGTGCCATTTTATGGTTGTCTTCTTTTGTTTAAAGTCGTGAGAGAGCAGGGTGAGTGTACCATCCAGCGAGTGGCCTGATGGTACACTCATTCAGGCTCAGATTAGTTTAGAAATACTAACCACTGATGCAGCTTTATAGCAAGATACTTGTTTTTTTTGTAAACTGTATGGCGTAGCCTGGCCCATCAATTACAGTACTTTGTCTGTGTATGTCTGTTTGCCTGTCAGTTTTTTGTGGCTATTCTGGCACAAGGTGGCCTATGAGCAATGCCAACAGCTCAGCCAGAAAGGTGAATGGCACCATTCCTGAATGACTTCATTAGAGAGATATTGCATGAAAACAAATGAAAAAGCCTATAATATACTTAAGACCAGGCTTAGCCCTTTCAGCGCACCATGACGGTGTGAAGTTACTCAGGGATCTGTATCCACTCCACTGTTTCTCTAAATGCTACCCACTGTTGAAGCTAATGCAAGAAATTTTCTGAGTTGACGGATTAGACCACATGGTGTTGCCCAGCCTATCATTTTTTGCAGCAAATTATTCCACACTGCAGGCACTTTCCTTTGTGTGAGGGTTTGCACTTTAATGTTCACATCAACAATGGTCACAATAATAGTTGCTGCTATCTTTAATGTTCAGGCTCGACATTACTCTCAAGTACGATATTCATTGATGAGATTGATTGTTTAGGCAGTAGAGAGGAAGTGAGAGTGAACACGGAATCCAAGCCGTCGAGTGAAATCTGAGTTACTGATTCAGATGGATGGTAATTGTTATATCTCTCATCAGTCAATGTTTTTCATGGATATTAGTTAATCAGTCAACTCTCTATAAATATAGTTCTTTGCTTACCTGAGTGCCTTTTTAACAATTATTCAGGTGTGGGAGCAGAGAGTGAGAGCTCATCAAAACTAGTTATAGTACTTGCTGCTACAAACCATCCTTGGGATATCGATGAAGCACTTCGAAGACGGCTGGAGAAGAGGATATATATTCCTTGTACCTGATGGTAAGTGCTCATTATTATTACTTAAGTATTGTAGGTAGGCCGTGGTATGTTTAAGGAGAAAAGCATTGAGTGGGTTTATTGCCCTTTTAACTGTGCTGTTGAAAAAACATGTAAGTAGGTGCGAAAACTACTCTAAGCATTAATTGATTGACGACGTAAACTTACTATAAAACATGGAAAAATCATTTCTATGTCCCCCTTCATTTGAAGAAATGATTTTTTGACTTGTTTCCATGAACAGCTATGACATTGCATTTTCTATTATTGTCACTCCTGATTTGCATGGGTGATGTTGTAGCATGGATAATTTGAAAGCAGTAGCAGATTGCTGCTGATTCTGAAGCAGGGGGCAGTGCAGACAGAGAACAATTTGTTGTATACAAGGACGTAGTTGGGTTATGGCATCATTGCACTGCGTGGTGGTTCATGGGCAGGCTTTAGTAATCAGATTATGATGTTTGCTAGAGGCTGGGAAACAAACAATGAGACTGAGACGTACGTACATGCAACAGCTCACTACACACAGACTCTCAAGGTTGCTCTCCGTGCAAACAAGTTAGCTTGTTGGAAATGTGTAGACCGATTGCACATCAGAGAGTTCAGCTCCATATCACACGTGATAGATCCTTATCACCGGAAATCAGCGTATTTGTTGATTCAACTTAAGCGCTGTCGCATGCCTCTGTATCTCGGATCTTTTTCGCTGCTTGCATACTTAGTCACCCGACTAACAGCCTCCCAGCAGCCATGCAATGCTTGGTGGAGGCACTGTCTGACCTTTCACAAATTCCCTGCAGGCAACAGCATAATTCTCTCGGATTCAAGCCCAAGGGTATGGGGAATAAGGGAATTTCCCCTCGGCTGCGCCCACATTTACCCGCTGATGCAATAAGTCCTACACAGTACCCTGGCACTAGGTAGTTATACCAGAGCTACGTATTCTACCCACCACACCTCCAATCAGAGAGGCCACCTCTCTTTGACGCACACATTCAGAATCTCAATCCTCAAGGGGGACTAGATGACTCCTGTCAGTCTTCACCCGAGAGGGGTGAAGACCTTGACCTCCCTATGGGTGAGGAGGTCAAAGAAAAGCTGGTCGAATTTCTAAATGCGTTGCGTATATAAGCAAGCGTACTATGCGTCGTGTATAGTAAGAAGTTTACACAGTCAATTAGCAGTTTTTATAGGAGAGGAGGGATGGTAATAGCATCACTTTCTACATGACTGTTGCTTAGCTTCTGGTGCATACAGCTATTAACCATATCTACAGGACAACTGTTAGGATGTCCGCCAAATTTAACAATGGTCTGACACACTGTCAGAAATTGTAAACCAAAACCTTATCGCTTGGCACTGTGCTCTCGTGGTGGACGTCCTTGCACATATGTTTCAGGAAGGTTGAAAATACAGAGCATCTCATACGATAGTCGGCCCTCTCATCAGTCATAGATCGCATAGAGGGTTCCTATAGGCAAGCACCCGCCAGTGTGCAGAGTATTGATGCCTTTCCTAGTTGCATGCTTAAAGCACTACCTCTCAGTCACGTTGACATTCAGATCCCAGTCAGACGATAGGGCTTTGGAACCAGCTGAATAAGTCCCTTAAGCATGTCGTCTCGATAGCCAGATGGCTTAAATCAGTACTCCTCTTGGCAGAAGTAGATACTTCTGTAGGTTTATTCAACATCATCAATGACAGTCAGAGTACTGGTTACACCTGCACACCGCAATATTATAGTGCTCTCGTCAAATGTTTTAGAATCTCCTACATGCTATGCCACGTGTGTCAGTTCAATGGTCACTCCATCACTCTCCCCCCCAAGTGAGTAGGGACGATGGTTGCGAGCCGATCAGGAAAAGTGACATGGTCGTCCAGAGCGTGTCACATTGGTGGTGGTGAGTTGGGATTGCGCAGCAGACGATGGTGGGAGTAGTAGGTAGGGTCTGTTGGGAATCGGTGTCATAGACTCCAGGAGGCCGGTTGGTTTTCTGGGTCGGTCCCAGTTTGCACATGACCGTCCTGAGGTTTGTACAAATGCCACTGCATCAGTTGCCGTAGACGTAGTAGTGTTGCTTGGAAGAAGTCTCCGCGAGGTTGTAGGGTGTGCCATAGGCTAACTCGCTGGACTGCACTGTAGGTCACACTTGATGGGTTGTACTAACACTAAGTAGGACTAGCGGTAGGGACCTCACCGTGTTGCCGGTTGACTGGACTTCAAGGACGCTTTAAGCTGCCGGTTGAAATCTCCCCACCACTGTTCGAGATTGGTGATAAGCCGTTGTCCGAAGATGCTTACATCCCAACAGTTGAGTCATGTGTCCAGGTTGCGAGTGAAACTGCGACCGCGCGGTCCGTATTGACGAGGATGGAACTGGTACAAACCAGGCGACCAACCAATCACCAAAGTGAGAGCTACTGATCCTGATAAGAAAAAGGCAGTGTTTTAAAGCCCGCAAATGTTGCAGACCCTGATAAGAAAAAGGCAGCTGTTATGGCCTCATATGTTGCAGATCCTGATAAGAAAAAGGGAGCTGTTAAGGCCTCAAATGTTGCGGATCCTGATAAGAAAAGGGGAGGCTGTTAAGCCTCATATGTTGAGGTCGGGTCCATCTAGGGAGGGGGTGATGTAACGCTGTAGCTGACTGATTGCTGACTCATCATTATCATTATTGTGGGTACCGTCTGCCGTGATGTCAGCCATGGTGAATGCTTCGCGCCAACCGCGTGAACAGGTCAACAGATAGGAGAATCCCGGGGAGGGAGGGTGCGGCCCGACGAGTGTCGACGTGGAGTGGTCGAACCTTGCATCGGGGTACTGAAGGTGACAGGGTATCTGTGGCCAGGTGTAGCGAGATGCAATCAGTTGCCGAGTTTCCCGAAGGCCAGGGTGAGCAAGAGAGTGGAGAGAGTTGAACACTGTGCGACGAAAGCCGGCTGGCCAAAACGGGTGAGGTGTGCCTGTGCTCATGTCACAAACAGTATTGAAGACGAGAGGTGTGGCACTGACGCAAATTTCAGAGAGATGACGATGAAGACTACTGCTGGGTGGTTAGAGCCTCCTGGTCGCCGATTTGTGCTGCTGCATTGCCTCAAAGTCGACGACTTTAGGTGGTGGCACCTGGAAACTGCTGAACTGTTCCGGGAGAGGGCGTCACCCACTGGATTAGCTCCACCGCCCACGTGTCGAATGTCAGTTGTAAATGATCGAGGTGGCGAGCTTGACGGGGGAGAATCTGTCTGAGTGGGTGGACAGGGCGAACGTCAGGGGTTTATGATCAGTAAGGACAAAGAACTCCCGGCCTTGGAGAAAATAATGAAAATGGCTGATGGCGAGATATATTGCCAGCAACTCTCGATTGAACGTACTATATTGTTCAGCAGGCCGTAGCTTCTTTGAAAAGTAGGCGAACAGCTGCCATCCCTCTGGAGGACTGCTCCACTGCCGAGTCGGAGGCGTCTGCCATGATGTACGTGCAGGGTGTGATTTGGGGTGCACCAACAGAGTAGCAACAGCGAGGGCGTCTGATGGTTGTGTGAAAGGCTGTCGCTGCTGACTCGTCCCAAATGAACTGACGTGTACTATCTCCAGAGGTCTTTAGAGCCTGTTGACTGGTTCGAGAAGTGAGGCGCAGGCAGTGGGGGATGAACCGATCATAAAAGTTGACGAGTCCCAGGTTTGGGGAAAGTCGCGGATAGCGCGAATCCTATCTCCAGTGGCCGAGGTGCTGTGTGCACTAACTCAGTGCCCCAGGAAGTCCAGTTCGTTAGCCCCGAAGATGCATTTGGCTGGTGATGACCAAATCGTGAATCTAGGCGTTGGAGGACTTGACAAAGGTATATGGCCAGGAGCGCTTCAATAAGGATTACCTGAAATTCTTGGAGTAGACCGGGTTGGGTGATACCCCATTCAACACTATGCCTCCCACGGCAAGAGTGGTTGTGGAATCTGCCAGTCGATGGCAGGCGAGGTCGACGACGAGGTTGTAGTGTCGGACGAAATCAGCGCTATAATCGTATTCGCGATTACAAACACCCAGCGAAATTTCCGGCGGGGTCAGAGAGTGAGGGTCAGCGAGCGGGTGCCGTACGTTCGGATGGAGGTGCATTAACTGCTTGCAACATAAGTGTGGAATTCGTGAATTGCGGTCTAGAGGTGAGGGATGGAATTGGAATTACGCTGACCTGAGCGCCGGGTGTCAACCACAAAGCGGAGGAGACGAGTGGATCTGTCGGTGATTGGAGTAGGGTGACATGGGTGTAGGCCAGTGAAGGGAGACAAGATAGGGATGAAGCATGGTTAAATGGTTAAAAATGAGTGGAGGACAAGCAAACACCCCCACACCCCATCACACAATCCCTATATTGTTGCCGGTGTGCTACTCTATAGGGG